GGGTCGGCGCGTTGGTACGCGCGCCTACCGGTCAGCGCGGCAGATGGATAGATAGATAGGTAGGTGGGTAGGTAGATAGGTAACCCGAGACTCGACGAGAGGTCAGCCTTCGCAGATTGACGGACGCGATAAATCGAGCCGCGGTGACATCGGGCTCGAGTGACGCGTAGCGAGGCGAGGCGACGCGACGCGGCGCGATGGGACGCGACGCGACAACCCACTGACCTGCGAATCCAATGCATAGAGTTTCTCTCTCGTCGTGCACCGTCGCTGCATCAATGCGCACCGATATATATATATATATATATATATATATATACATGTATGTATCAGCCGGAGAGAAGCCTTCGCGAGAGAAAGAGAGAAAGACAGAAAGAGACAGACAGAGAGGAGAATCTGAGAAATGACTCTACGAAAGGGGGGGGAATACATTCAGCGTACCTAATCCAACATTGGAAACACGTAGACCGCTTTTGCCCAAGTTGCGGTAGCGAATACCTGGCGAGGGGTGCTGCAAACGTTGCGCTTGTGCGGCAATGCAGCTAGTTAGTAGCTGCTCTTTGGTTCCGGTCGTGTTGCTGCAGTGCACGCCCGAGTCTGCACCTACGCCGCCGCCGCCGCCTCCGCCGCCGTTGAACTCTTCCATGCAATCCAGACTTGCTATGGGTGCACGGCAGCTGCGCATACAAGGTGCACGAGTTATCGCACATATCGATATCTCGCCTCTATATCAGCCTGTGTATGTGTTCCCTCGTGTAACTCGATTATGATCGATCGGTATCTCGGGATGTTTCGGAAGCACCGGATTTCCGAGTTTGAGAAATTTCCTCTCCTTGGCGGATATGTTTTCAGCGACGCGAAACCGTCCCTTTGTCTCGCTGACATTCTTTAATAATTTTCTCCACCAATCTTGGAATAATTTTAAATTAGCGTAATTTAATAAATGTTTTTTTTTCAAAATATTTCTTTCGCGTATATTTTTTCAAGCGACAATTTAGCGTAAAGTTAAATTTGCGTTTAAACTAATTCAAATTGAAATTAATTAATAACAACGAGGTCTTGCTGTTCTTTTACAAGCCTCCTTAAGATTGATTTTATTAAAATTCCGTAATTATCGGTGACTATTAAAGCTATTATATTTCTTAGCTTTTGAGATTAAAGGGATATTCGATTGTTGTTGAACATCTCGTATTACTGTGATTCTATCCTGTCGCGCCGTTTAATAACGTTATGCATTGCTTACATGCATGGGTGCATGTGTGCATGCAACGATATAAGTGTGCATGCATCGCGTGTATCCGTCGTATACGAATTTCCGAGAATTTTCAATCATATTAATAATTTTCCTTCATATAGCATCGTGCGAGTACTAAACTTAGAAGGACTCTATTCCAGATCTTAAACTCGAGTATTTCTGAATACTAGCAAGACTCATTTACTTTGCAAATCTAACAAGTTTTGCCAAAATCTCGCAGGGAAGAGAAAGAGAAAGAGAGAGAGAGAGAGAGAGAAGGGTGATTAAAATTCATGAATATTAGCGTTACGTCTGTCTCACACGTGTCATGCAAATATGGAAATATTAAATCCGCGCATATGTGTCGACTCTATCAGCTTAATATTACAATCGCCGACATCAGAACTGTCTGAGCTGATTCTCTCGAGACGAAATTCAGGCACGAATAACTTTACCGAGTTTGCGACCACGTCGGTCAGAAATGTAAAACCGTCATTCAATATTGTAATAGGAGTCATTTTTAATTAAAATTCATCGCTCATCGATATTCAACGCAAAGTTCGATCGCGCCATCTCACTCTGGGGGATTATACGCTCTCCCTCTCTTCGGATTGGAGTCTTATATACATGATATACAGACGCAGCGGAGGGAAACTCTTATTACGGCCAGAGTTAGCTCCAAGAGAGTGACGTTAATGCAAGCTCGCACACTTCAGTGCTCCAGTTAATCGCCTGGGGAGGAGAAGGTGTAGAGGAGGGGGGAACATATATTGGTACACAATGATTGTCGTCGATGGTACATTTTCATCGAATTACTCGTGCTTGAATTTTGTTCGAAGAGCGAGCGGATGGATCGTTTCGTTGGTCGTACTACAGACGCGCGACCTTAGTAACGCCTTTTCCTTGGGAAAGATCTAGAGGTGCGTTACGTAGGTGCCCCTTTAAAAGCTAAAACTACCACCACGAGTACGTCGCCGTCGCCGACGCCGCATGTGGGTCACCGGCGCGGGGACGACGACGCGGCACGATAGGTTTCAGGTCGGGGAATATCGCCTTTCGCTCGAGTGCCCGATATATATATATATACACCCGCCGATCACCTTGCCCGACATTATCCAGACACGATCACTTTGCGAACTGGCCGCGCTTTTAATAATTGTAAAACCCCTTTCCCCCTTCTCTACCGAAATATCTTCCCGATAAGTCGCTTCTCGCGATGCGAAATTGTATCGACGTGCGATCAACATGATAGTGCATCAAACGAAATGCAATGCATAGAAAAAGGAAAAAAGAAGCTTGAAGAATGCGAAATCGATTTTTACTTCTCTACCATCTTCCCGATAAGTCGCTTCTCGCGATGCGAAATTGTATCGACGTGCGATCAACATGATAGTGCATCAAACGAAATGCAATGCATAGAAAAAGGAAAAAAGAAGCTTGAAGAATGCGAAATCGATTTTTACAAACAAAGCGTTTTCGCGTCTTTTGGCAAAAAAAAAGAAAAAAAAGAAAAAAATGCGATAAAGATAAAAAATAAAATAATTCAATTTATTAAAAATTTATTGACATATATACAACGAATCCTATCGTTAAATTTCGATTATTTTTTCACATCCCCTGAAATTAACTCGAGATAGATTGTCGAAGGATCTTTGAACAGAATTTTTCGATCGACAAGTGTCTCATATCGCGCTATGACGTTTGTTCGAAGGGTGAATAGGGATGATGCATCGAGAAGAAAGTGATTCTCTCTTTCACGACAGAGAGAGAGAGAGAGAGAAAGAGAGAGAGAGAGAGAGACGACTGTATTAATGTTACATACCGATAGATTGTAGGCAGTGGATAAGAATCGTCGTCCTCCATACTGCTGTTCGTGTTTGCGTTGTTGTTCGTATCGTTTCCCGCCGTCGAGGCATTGCCGAGATTGCACAGCATTAATCGCGACATTACTAACGCGAGTGATAAGGGCGATCTTTCAGTCTGTCCGCGGGGAAACGATCCTCGGCGCGAAAGCAGGCCGATTGCCGGAGTCCCACGCGCGCGATATTCTCGACGAGTACATGCGTGTACTCGATCCCTAATATACTGCAATTCGTCCCCCGAATTCAAAACGAAATATTTACCAAATACCGTTGATTCTATTGTAATCGCCTCCTCTTTAGTCCCCACCGTCCCTCCGCACGCTCTGTGCGCTTTCTCGTAGATACTTCGATACTCCGGCGTGATACATAATCGGCGAGTGATAAAGGAGCATCGCAATCGTATCCCAAGATGCGTGCTAGATGGTACAGATTACGATAGATCGGTATTTCAAGCGAATCATCGATACGCACGCATTGCGCGCGCGCGCGCGCGTGTATGTTTGTGTGTGTGTGTGTGTGTGCGTGTGTGTGTGTGTGTATGTAGGCACTAAGATATTTTTTTCTCTCCCCTTGTAATCACGCTTAGGCACCACTTTTCTCGAAGAGCATACAAACTTCACAGCTTTTTCCGTAATTCTTCGGCACAGTCCGCGTTCGGGGACACGACACAGTCGTTTTTATCGATCAACGCGCTTAACTCGGAGCACGGATCTGTTTGATCGAAAGCGGGCGATGCGGAGGTGCTACGGGACGAATGATCGATATGAAGCTAGGATATGTGATACGATATCTAATAAGAGCGACACGGCCGACACGGGGAAGTATTTTATTATTATTATTATTATTATTATTATTATTATTATTACGAAGCAGGGCGATATTTATGGGAATCCGATCGCGAACTGCAACGGGGGCTATAGTTTCGCCTTGCGATCCATCGTCGTTCACCCCGTCGTTCTCCAACAGTGTCACGAGGACCGTCCACCGTCGGTCTTGCTGCCGTCGCTGCCGCTGCTGTTGCTGCTGCTCGTCGCGTAGACTCCCGTAACGTCGCGGGTCACGTAACGCGCGCGGCAACGATAAGGGGCATTATCAGACGGCAGTCGCGATTCGGATCCGAGCATAAGTACGCGCCCGCGAGATAACGGTCCGTCGCGGCGCGGCAATGACGCGCTTTCATAAAGGAACACACACAAATCGCCAACGAAACATGAGCGGTAAAAATCGTGCGGGATCACACGCACAGAAGGAGAGAGAGAGAGAGAGAGGAGAGAAAGAGGCAAAGAGAGAGAGAGAGAAAAAAAAGACGGAGAGAGAGAGAGAGGAGAGAGTGGTCGTGCTCCCTGTAGGCGATACCGCACGCACACACCGCTCGATACCCGCTCTGTGCGAATTCTCACCTTCTCTCGGTTACGGTGGACGGTCGCGATGCACAACCCCTCCCCGACGATGCCGATTCACCCCCACGCGATGGCTGCGCGCGCAACGAGAAGCTGAGCGCGCGCAAAATCGCGAGACTTGTCGCGCATGACGTGGACACACACGAGGGTTGCGACGTCCGTGCGAGGATCCAGCCCCCGACGTTGCATGCCCCTCGCGTTTTCGGGGAGGGAAAGGGGGGAGGGGGACTGCGTAATCGCAGCCCCTGCAGGTATCCCACCCTTCTTTCTTTACCACGCGCGCGCACATACACACGCACACAGCACCCACACGCGTCCGCACGCACATACACACGAAGGAAACGTATATAATCAACGTAGGAAGAAGGGTTTTGTGAATCAACGGTTTCAACGGCAACGCCGCATTGCAGATCTGCCGCGCCGACACGCAACTGACCCCTCTCTCACCACCATTATAAAGTTATTGTACGTACACAGTTATTGTATTCTCACACACACACACACACACACACATACCCACAGTCGTCATACGCATACCTATATAAATACGTGACACACTCTACGATCGTTGATTTACATAGTGCAACGAAAGTAACGTCGAAACGAATATATCGCAAGCAAATACATGTATTGTACATTGTCGCAAACAATCTACCTCGAAACTTGCTCTTCGAATGATGCGGATAAGTCTAGATACGAGCTGTGTCGGTGTGTCACGCATACATGGCCGTTAACGTGGAGAACCCGCGCGCTTTGACAGCACCGGTCGCGTGCGGATACGGCTAATACCGCTCAACCGTCGAGGATGATAATATACGAGATGACCTGATAGTTTCACCGAGACAAAGTGGAGATGGGACCGAGACGACCAAAAGATGGTCACGCGCGCGCCCATATACATTTTTGCCGCGAACGGTGACAGATTTCAGCTGTCAACGAATTATGACATTGACGTTCGCCGTGATATCTGTGCCATTCGCGGAGCGAATCGTATAGTACGTACGTACCTGCAAGCGGATCTCGCGACGTAAAATATTGGAGGGAATTATACGTTGAGCGCGTTAGCAACGTCCCGTCCGACTCGTATCTTTTCATACATTGCGGAGTCTGCGAAGAGAGGAGCCAGACGCGCGCTGGGAGGTTCGCTGGTAAACTCGGTCGTTGAATCCGTGCCAAGGCTCGAGTTTTCAGGAAAATCCGAGAGGAGACATACTATATCTGCATCGACTTTAAATAAAGATTGCCGATATATATTCGGCAATCAGGATGATGATGATGATCGGTATTTCTTAGTAGTAAGTCGTTTGATCTTACGACAAACATCGATCGCTGATGTATAGCGAGAAAAAGAATTTCGCTATAATATACGCGGTATAAATCTCGCATTTATTCGTTCCACTTGCATAATTCTAATATTAATGTCTTTGTGATTATCAGAGTTGTGCCAATATCTACGTATAACTGAAATAGCGGGTCAAGATTTATGAACACATTCTTGGCTAATATGAAAATTATCTCTTTACATAACAGAAATGTCAAAGCACCAACAGCGCGTCTGACAATGAGTTTCATTTTAAAGATTGGCAATAACAATGTAGCACGATTAAAGAATAATTTTATGCACATAATAATGTAATCTAATGTAAAAAGCTAGCAAATATTTAAAAAAAAATAAAGAAAAAAGATTAAGTTTAAAAATAGAAAATTTATCATTTTGATACTGGTAGCATTTTGTACTACAATTGTAGATATAAGTCTCCACAAAAGTGTGTTTTAGACTCTGCTGTACGTTACAATTTCTTATGATGTAAACTGAAAATATCAATCGAAGATTTTATCTTATTTCTTTATAAACTTTTTAATTTTTAACATTAAATATCTTAGTAATTATAAATTAAAATTCTCTGAAAAAAATCCATATGAAATTAACCAAAAAGGATTATATTTTATTTATTTCGATTTTTTATATCTTTTCTATAAAAAAGTTTTATCCTCTCCCTCTGTAAGACCGCAATTATATATGCTAAAACATATTTTTAGAAGAGTCTCGGGAAAACATCAACTTATGATGATGTGTATTTTAAAAACAGCGCCGGCTTCAATGTGATGTATGTATATCGGATCTTCTTTCGTTCGATTTTTCTCGTGTAAACGAATAAAAATATCATAGTACGTATGCGTGCACGGGAAACAAAAGCGAGACGTGCCATCCGTAAAATTCCCTCGACGAAATATAAATATCCCACAGCAGCGTTCGTTTATAAATACTGTCGATTTAAACGTCGTCTCATCATTCCCAAGGTAAATCGATCCAGAGTTTCATCAAGATATAGAAAATGACGTCAAAAATCACACGCATCTTTTTCGAATTATTATTTTTATAAGCGGATTGAAGACAGTTTTCTTTTTTTGCGCGAGACAGTCTGTATAAGAGTTCCATATTTCTAAGTGAAAATTCTCACCCCTTTTTCCCTTCCCTTCCTCCCTTCCCGTATGTACACTCATAGAGACTGGAGAGGAATCGATTTTTATATATTGGCTGTATTATTTTAATAACTTATTACAGTACTTTATTAAATGTTAAGTTACGGTTTTATCTAAACACATTTACAGTCACAGATTTTGTGTTTTCGCAATTTGTGTGAAGGTGTGTTATCGCAGAAGGGTGTTATCGCGCGCGCAACGGCTTGTTTCGACGTTATATTACGATTTTGCGTGTATGTGTATGCGTGCCTGTATGCGTTTCGCTTTGCCAGCGGGTAAAGGATCGCCACGTGATCGTGAAACGGGTGAATTTTTCCGCTGTTCCTCGAATATGCACTATCAATGAAGTAGCTTTTTTTCTTTTTTTTTTTTTTCTTTTTTCAGCGGAGATACTAAATAGAGGTAAATTCATCGAGCGACGTATTTCGGCGGGTATTTAACAGCAAATTACTTTGGATAGTAGATTTTGCATATACCGTCGAAACGATGATGCGACACTTTGACAGATCGACGGCGCGAATTCGTAAACGAACGAAATGGGCTGTCACGGTTAAATCGAGAGATGACATTTCACTCGCGTAAACACGTTTCCACGCGGTCACACACCGAGGTCTGCGATATGCTGACGGAACGGCAGTCTTTCTTGCGCTTTCGTACAATTAGACACAGTCGCGGAGCGCCCTTGTTCGATCCCTCCCGCATCGTCGCTCAATTACGATTGTCAGAAATCGCGTATTTAGAGGCATTCGCCCCGGCGACGACTTTGCCTTCTCGACGCACGCGTTTAGATTCTCGGGCAAGCTTCCGATTGTGTGGCTTGAGATCCGTGGCTCGTTACTGTGGCTAATCGTAAGTTGTTGATTTTTCGGCGCACACAATATAGCCGTAAGCACAGTAATCGTATTTTAAGAGAAAAATAAGTGGAGAAAGGGGAGAGAAGGGAAGAGGGAAGAGAGAAGAGTTGGCGTTACATATATATATGTATAATAGAGGTAAAAATTGAGAAAAACTCGAGATGAGAGAGCGTAAAATGTATATGTCGGATGGAACGAAGAGATGTCGACTAATATATTCAAAAATAGCATGGAGGTTTTGCGATGAGGAGAAGAGAGCGGAGAGACAAGAGGCGGAGAGGGAGAGAGATTCTTTTTAGAGAGCAGTAATAAATACAAAATGCATTACTGCCATGGTTCTAAACATGGTGATAACATTGTGATATTAAAACTGTACACACGGTGATGCCGTGTTGCTGGAAATATAAACACCCCTCGCACGAACGGGTCTCTCTCGGTAAGTCCGAAGGGGGGAGGGGGGAGAGTTTCCGGCGCGGATTGCGAGCGGGGCCGCGCCCGGACATGTATTGCGGGCGGGTCATCGTCCTGGGTATCTCGATCATTTCACCGTCCTTTGGCAGGTGGGGAGATTTACCATGAAGAATACGTTGAGCTCGATCAGCGACGCCAGTATGAGGAACACGGCATACATGCACAAGCAGGCGCGGCCTACTTTTCTGTCGAGCTGAAACTTGTTGGAGGCGAACGCGATGTACAGCAGCATCAGGGTCGACAGCAACGATATGGCGCTGTATTCCAACCCGCCGGAATTTATACTGATGTAATGCCTGCCGGGCTGCGTGGGCGAGAAGGATGACTTGATTAGCCAGGGTAGTCCGAGGCATAGCAGTATATCGAACGTGTTCGATCCTATCGAATTACTGATGCCCATCGAGCCATGGCCTGAACAATAAAACGGGACGGTAAGAGGAGTTACGGAAAGAAAAGAGTGTGTAATTATTTTTCCGACTCTTCGCACTTGCTGTTTCCTTTTTTTTGTTTTTTTTCGTTTTTTTTTTCCATGAGATTCGCCCTCTTCAGATTCCTACTCGATCCAATGATCAAATTCCTCTTAATGTTTAACACAGCGTGTGCTAATTTGATAATTAACGTAGCAATATTCCCTCGTTACGAGGAATTAATTTTCCACGTATATTTTTTATCATAAGAGACAGTATAATTGTGTATACCTTGTTTTGCGACAATCACACTCGATACGGCTTCGGGTACGCTGGTCCCCGCCGCGAGAAAAGTGATGCCCATTACGGAATCTGGTATTTTGAGCGTGTCGCCTGAAAAAAAAAAAATAATTTGTGCAAGTTTCAGATTCACACTTTTCAATTCCCGAGATTTTTCAAAATTCTTGTACGCGCGATAAAAATGTTTCGTCGTCATATTTTTCCTTGTCAGCATCGAATCGACGTGTCTTTAACGAAAATTTCATCGGACGTCATTTCTAACAGAACTTTTTTCCATATTCGATTGATTCGACTTGCTAAGTTGCAAATTAAAATTATATCTCTACCCACCGATTATAGTGATCATCCACGCTACAACGTAGCTAAGCGATCCAATCCATATGATGCACATCAAGAACGTGATGGGAAACCAATTCTTAAATCGGGGTTTTTCGCAGTCGGGAATCGTGCACATGAATACAAGATGAATGGGCCATGTTGTGACCCAAGCGGTCTTCCTTAACCATCCGGCATGCGCTGGCCACACCAACAGTTCGTACTCATAATCTGTCATACATATTACGGGAATATTAAATTTAGAACAAATATTGCCTCGTTTATCTTTCCTGAAAATAAATATCATTTTACATAAAATAACATAAATTGTATAAGATTTGAATAATAGCTCTATGATAGGTTTATCAAATTTAAATTCAAATTTGATCTCTCTGATCTCTTGATGACTGATACTCGGAAAATTTCCATTCGTGCTTATTGCACACTTGACCTATCAAGTGGCTCACGCTCGAAATATTGCGCATTGCACTATTATTCGAGAATACTATTATTGACAGATATATGGTGGTGTCATCGATACAGTTGATAATGAGACGGATTGCGTTTTGATTAGATTAGATTTTATTAAAAGAGTAAATATTTGTTAATGACACTTTTGTACGATGAATTATATTTTATTTTTAAACTTTTATCTATAATATTGCACGATGCAAAAATTCGAAAAAGAGAACAGTCTTACTGGAATCTGGATTCTCTTCCTGCGTTTTCGTCCCGCCATTTTGTAGCGGCACGTCAATAGTGGCTATTTGCTCCACATGATCCCCGGGTGATTGTAATTTGTCCGGTCTTGGTAAGTGAATGTCGCTAGAATCTGTGAGAAACGTGCTTTTCAAGCAAGTAAACATATTGTTGCAGTGTCTGGATTAGATTGCAGAGACACATAATACGCTCGCTCGTGTCCTCGAGACTCTCAGGGATCTCGAAAACATCAAAATATTTCGTCTTCTTCTTTCAAACTTTATTTTTATCAATTGTATGTGTAAACATTTGATTAATTATTGAAATACTTTTTTTATGAGAAACTGATGGAAAGTAGAGGGTGAAATATTTTATAAAACAAAAATAAATCGCTGCAAAATCGTTAGATGTTTTATTTATACTTCTAGATTCATCTTGGAACAAGTTACGAGTTTTTGTACTTGAAAACAACAGCACTTGTTGTCGATCAAAGCTGTAATGAAATTACGGCCTCACCTGTTGTAACTCGTCGGCCATCCGAAGATATCTGGTCGTCGTTTGTACGGAATCTCGTACACCGCTGGAACGATTTATCCCAATACATCACGGCGATGTAAACAATATACAAGAGCACCAACGTTAATGCCTCGTACCACTCCACTCGCTCGTCGTGTATAATGCATATTAAAATGGCGACGGTGACACCGTAAGCAAGACAATCTCTACTAACAGGCCACCAATCCAGTGGCACCACCTGCTTATGGGAAAAGATTATTACGAATATAATTTATGGTATACAATATTTAATGGATATACTTGCGTATCCGAAGGATATCTTTCGTAAATATTATATCTGAATAACCGATGAACGTATCTTATGTATCCGGTGAGAGAAAATATTATCAGATATCCATAGATGCTCTTGAATATTTGACAGATTTTCTTACATATCCGGAAAATGAATGTTTTAAATATAATTCAATAATTTTAAATAGATATCCATTTATGTAAAATTATAAAAATGAGATTATTTATCTATTTCCAAAGATAAAGATAACTTTTTTTGCTCATGCGCGCTAAAATTATATTTAAAAAATTTCAATTTTAAATCCGTTAAGGGGGAATTTTTCTAGAGGGAAACATATTTAAAAACTTTAGACGCTCTCTATATGTTTATTTCATAATTATCTTGAATTTAATTTAAATTGTGCTTATACGCGTGAATATATTATTATCGCAGATTTTTTTACGTATATAAGAATGCGTATTAAATACCATGCGTGCAAATTTTCAAGAATGTTGATTACGTATCTGTATGATGCATGTCTGACAGTGTCTTAGTGCTTATTGATATAGATTCTTGGCGTTATCAATTGGCGTTGTATTAATTTTATACTTATTACATATATTGAATCGCTATAAAATTTACACGTCGTTTATTCATAATTATTTAAGCACAAAATAAAATCGTTGGCGATTTAATGATGAATGGTATTGACAAGAGAAGGAGGAATAATTAATTTTTTTATGAATCTAAATACGTGATCGATAATTTCACTTATCAATTGTCTAAAGAAAATTTAAAAAAATCCGTATACTATATATAAACCTACAATATAAAATAAATGCATCAAAAAATATATATTTGTACATTTGTATGCATAATATTTATGTATATATATAAATTGTTTCAAATCAATAAATTATTTTATTTTTAACTTTATTTTATTTAAATTGTTTAAATATATATTTATTAAACGTACACTTACTTTTCTTGCAGCAACATGTTTTATGTATTCTAATTAATATGACATAATATTAATCAATTTCTTTTTGAATATGTAGCACTAAATTTTTTTATGTGCAAGTTTTCGCGTTTTTCTTTTTATATAGATATTTTCTCTTTTATATAAGTTTGTTATATATATATTTTTTTTTTTCACAAATTATATAGAACACTTGGCAACCTACCATTCCCGCACCGATACCGCAGCAGGCTGGGACAGCCAGGATGTTGAATACTGCGGAACCTACTATCGTCCCGACGCCAATGTCACCTTCCGTGATGAATGTTCCGATGGCATTCACGAATAATTCTGGGGCCGACGTCGCCGCCGCCATAAACGTCGCGCCGGCTACGTCTTTTGACATCGAGAGTGCTAAAATGCAACATGTCAACTTCGATTCTTTTACTCTCAACCCTTCTTTTTCATATATACGCATACATGTATGTATACGTATACACGTACAGAGCGTAAAAATACATACACCATCTAGAGTGAATATTTCTTTTTTATGCAATTTCGTTAAAAAAATAGATACGGAAAAAATAATCGAGAGAGATTTAAAATAATAAAATTTAATATAAGAGAGAGATTTCTTCTCCGCCAGAAATAGCCCCAATGGTAATGATGGACAATCCCGGAATTTAATATTACATCAAATACATCAATTAATTTTTTTTTTTTATTTCTCAATGATAAGTACTATGCCTCGTATGTGTTTTAGCGATAGATGTGATTGTCTGACGTTCGATACTCCTATCGTGCGAATCGGGCAATCACATTTAGCGCTGAAGGCTACTCCGAAGCTAAATACGTATTTGTTTCGAGAAATGTCAGGCGAGGTTTCCGAATGAAAGACAATTACGGTAACCGATGAAGACGTGTCTGGCGCCCGCAGTGACGCAGATATGCCGCAGCATGGGCATCGATTCGACAGTCGCATATCTCGAGCGGGGGATCAGCACGAGGCGTCGGCAAGAGTGCCAGAATGATTTGTTTTGATCCGATCTAGATGTTTAAGTCAATTTGCAGGATCCCGATTGGCACCGGCTTTGGTTGAACAAACATTTCTCTCTCGACGTATAGGATTAAAAGGAAAGAAATATATATATATATGTAATACAACCCTCTTACCGTGACATATTTTTTCTACAGCAGGTACGAAGAATTTATCGCATACTACTGCTAAAGCGATAAATAAGTAAAGCGACACGATGACGTGTACGACAACGGCACCGCCTTGTCTTTGCTCCTCATCAAACAGGTCGTGTGGAAAATCTTCTATAGCCGGTGGCGTACAATTTATACCTAAAAAAACGTAAGTTTTTTTCCTTTAAGAAAAATACACGCACGCGATATCGTGTAGCAATATCGTCATCAGAATTCTTATATTATTATTCATTATAGTTGTTTTGTCTGAAATTTTTTCGAGAGCTTAATTTGATACACAAAATAGTTTTTTTTTTTCGTACGAGACGTTCTATCTTCTCTATCAGAGAGAAATTTGATGATACGTTCGAATGCAATTGTCACGTTCTACAGGGGGCATTGACTTACGACGGACGTGCCTTAATTTACTTCATCGATATCGTAAGCGCTAATAAACGCGGTAATCTTATGTAATCGGTAGAGATAACATCATTCCTCTCTCTCTCTCTCTCTCTCTCTCTCTCTCTGTCGAATGGATGATAATTTCAAGAGATTCAAATTTTAAATTTTATTATCTATTTTTATTTTTTTTTTAAGTCAATTTGCTCGAGGATAAAACTTTCGCGAGAAGAAATTTTATCTCCCGCAATCTCAATTTACTTTATATCGCGAAGGATTCTGTCGCTCGTACTCTACGGTTTTCGCCGCACCCTGTATCATTCGCGGCGATCGCATAATAACGATTCCGGATGTACCGCACCCAGGACACACTCGTATCCGACGAAATGCGTTTTTATCGTTGCGTAACAAGCAAAGCGCGTACCTACAAAACCGTATAGTGTGCGTGTTAATTAAACCGCGAAATACCTTCGTTTCCATTTACAGGTCGCAGCGCGAACGGACACTCTCTCAGACGAGAAACATTGCATTCTCTCATGTATTTTCGACAATTCGACACGCGCGTTTCAGCTATGCTACATTCGCGCGATATTAACGTCAATTACGCGTGTTTGCTACTTTAATGTAAAGCAGAAGAAGCTCTTTTCCTCGAAGCTTCGCGACCGCTCGTGGCTTTAATACGATAAGAGCGGAGGGAGGAGCTTAAAGTTAACCATTATCTTTTTAGAGCCGGCGGCTCATTCTGGCGCTAAAAGGGAGCGGAGTCGTGACGACGACGAAGACGATGAGGATGACGAGGAGGCAGATCGACGGTTACGAAATCGGTATACGAGCAGCACGTACGTTGACTCGCCGAATAGACATACGTTCCCGCTAGAAAACGACACGGAATGTCACGCCATGCACCGGGCACACGGACACGTCGGCGACGGTGTGCGGTGTCCAAATCGGATCGTGTGGTGGTAAGATAACGATACGCCACAAGTAGGAAATGTCTCGTTACCGTTCGTCATTACTTCAATTTTATGGAACCGTCGTGTCGTGCCGAATTCTTTTGACAAACAAGCGGGAGCCGCGGGGTTTGGAGAGGGAGGGGTATAAAGGTGGTCCGTCAGCGATGTGCGATTGATCGTGCCTGGTAATCGAGCGGCACGCTCTCTCGTAATTTTAGGGGACGAATTTTCAAAGGCGAAACCCTCGCAAAAAGCTTCTTATCAGTTATCGAACTACGCGACACGCATTCCCCTCATTTTGCAGTCGATCTGCTGTTCATTGCCAAATATTCTTCTAGATATTAGAAATTTTTAGATTTTAATATTAATATATATCTTCAAGTGTACCTAACGAATTTTGACGCTAAAATATAATTTTCTTCTTGCGTATAATTAATGTTTAAAAATATACTGAAAATGTATTACATGCATTGTGTGTGTACGTGTACATAAACATTTGATTTAGCTTCAATCTAACTTTGATAACGTGTTCCTTTTAATTAGAATCTCTTGTGTAGATTTGTGGACATTTAAGCTTTCTTGACAAATTTTATCATCTTAATTTATTTTACTCATTCTACTCATGTGACACGGCTACTTTACCATTATGTATTTTGTTCATAATCGCGAATTAAAATCTATTACTCAACAATTGTCCAATAAAGCAACGGTAAATTGTTAAAAATCACGCTACTAAATGATAATCATAAATATAGTACATATTAAGACATATCGTGAAAATCGTAAGAAGATATCTGAAACTTATTTAAATTTCTTTTTTTATTCAAAAAATATTTAATAGATCACTTTCTTTGAATATTGCTCATCTATCTGATTATTACCGGATTATTATATAATGTCCGATTTAAATTATCCTTTTGAAGGATTAAATATATCAGTGGCACATATAAAATAGGCATTTGTTCGTACCGGATTAACTAATTGCGCTCATCGTCATTTAAAACGACATCGCGACAATGAAGTTAATTAACGATATTTCTCTATCTCTCTCGCAATTTTATATTTTATACTTTTATATTTTATATAATTTCTCTCTCTCTTTCCGCATTTTACACTCTCCCCGTGAGGGGAGAGATACACGAGCATGCGAACGTGCGCGCGCGTATTGGTGCCTCTTACAGGTTTCATACCGCTATGTGACTGGATGTGACTTCCTACCGATTAAGCAACCTAAAGAAGTTAAATTGCTCTCATTCAACTTGGCAGAACAGATGCCATTCATGTCTAATGTACGTCGTATAAACGTAGATATATATCACGGACGACTCAACGACTCGGGTTCTCCGGCGATTCGTTCGCTCGGAAGGGCGCGGCGCGATCCCGTCGCCGGTTGCCGGCAGACGGTAGCCGATGGATAACACAGTTCGATGGAAAAAAAAAAAAATAAAAGAAAAGACAAGGAACAATTAATCTCCTTGTAGTTATCTCGATCGATTATTTACTCCACGGCGATCGCCGTATGTTGGATCCGCCGTTTGACGATCGTCAAACTTAACTTTAGATTCGTAATCTAACGTGAAAACCTTCTCGATGTACTATATACGAATTTTTACATAGATTCGAATTTTTTTCTTTATCTTGACATATGCCGTACTGAACTTTGCCATTTCGAATTTTAACAAGACTTGTTTTAACATACTAAATTTGCATTCAATGATTTATAAATCTTCAACTTTGAATAAACGATCGAATGATATTTGGTAGAAATTTTCTTGAGAACTGAAATTTTTTAACAATATACTTAATTTTGGTTAATAAAAAAATAAATCTTTTTTTCTCATCTCATACAAATGCCGTAGCTATTAATATGATAAGCTAATATGATAAAGCGTTAAAACCCTTTCTAGGATTCTAATCCGAAATTTTTCAAAATTGTGAGTAGTATATTCCAGAGGCCAAAATTTTATATTAAAAATTTTTTCTATCTAAAGAATAACTACTGTCTTTTTCGTAGGTTTAGTAAAGATATTACTTTTTGTTGAACTGCGTTAATCATTTCGGTTTACCAATAATCAACATGATGTTTCTGCGATTATTAACATTTTCTTAATCGTCTTTGATAAACTTATTACAATTTTTCAATGATATGCGTAAAGTTGCATAAAAATTACGTATTTTACATGTAACTTTTTATCTTTATCAGAGAGAGAAAATTCGCAGGGATTGCGAATATGTTATAAATATAATATCATAGTAAAAAAGCCATAAGTAAATAATTTGCATTATTGTTATGCATTTTATAATATACTTTGTATTAGAGGTAAAAGAACGATTTTTTTTTTTTTTTTTTTTAATCAATATCATAGCAAAGCCATGCAATACAATATAAACTGTAATGATAGATAACAGAGATGAGCGACATTGATTCAATGCTTTATTTTTTTCAAAGTTATGTTTTTCAGATTTAAATCATCGCCGAATTTTGATATTTTTAATTGTTTTGATTTTACTAGATTTGCCTAAATTCTATTAAATCAATATACTATTTCTTATATTCTGCGTTTTGTATTATACAATCGAAAAAGAACATTGGATTACATTCTTATTAATAAGTGTTAATTATCATTACGATTACATTAAGCTGATCGCTACAATTTTGAATAATCTCGAAAAAATTGAAGATTAATTTATTATTTTCGAGAGAGAAAGAGAGAGAGAGAGAGAGAAATATTTTCACAAGACACACGATTAAAAATAAAAAACCCATTTTGTAATCAATTGCAAACAGTCAGGATTTAAACGGTGTGTAATGTAAATGAAAAAAGTTTTCCTCTTCTACGGAATAATAATAAATTTAAAAAAGATATTTTTTTTTATTTGTCGTAAAACGCGAGATGAGCTGCTCATAACATGTGTGATTCCCTTTCTAAATTATAGTTTATTTAGTTTATATGTAAATCTAAATCTGAACACACACGCGATTGATAATAATCATGCAAGACAAGTGAGTGACAAAGAACGGTGCGTTAGGATAATAAACGTCGAATGAGCGTTATTTTCATTAATTCTCATTAATCCTATCTCGTAATTGATGATGCTTAATTAGCTTTAGATCGCTTTAAGCCACCTATGTTATCTCATCTCAAGACTCCCGCCGAGTTGGCTTTAATTAATGCTTCACCATCCCCTGCGTTGTTCTTATTAAAGGTCAACGTAACTGCTCGCAACGAAAGCGGATGCTTCGTCTAACGCGAGTACAGTGTGGAGGTAAACTTCTACGTCTACATCGCTAACGCGTGTGGCTGTTGATACGCCATTGATAAAGATCTTTGGGCGAGATCTTGGCTTAAAAGATGTCTGCAGAAGACGTTTGGAAGAAATTGACGAGCTCTCTTTTAAACATTTGAATAGAATAATTAATTTTATCTTCGCTTTCTCCTCAATTGCGTAAATAGCTTATGTATTTTTAACAAAAACATGATATTTTCGTACATTTCACGTGTATATTTGATTGCGTTGATAGCATTTCATATGTCCGGATTAACATGCCGAGAGCTCATCTTTGCACCTTAGCCAGGATATGATTATCTTGTTAGCGATAAGGATAGTGTGACTGCATTAGTGTGCTCAATGCACAATGTATTGATAAATTAAATTTGAAATGCGAGTTTTGTTGATTATATTAAAATTTTGTCAAGCTATATTATAGACGACACGGCATTTTAATATTAACAAAATATTTTAATATTAACAAAAAGATTAGCACCGTAGTAGCTTATGCACGCAGAAAGTTGATTATCTTCCTACGTCTCGTGTTGCTTTTTAAGGATATTAAAAAAGAGCTCGAACAAGTGCTGATTATCCCCAATTACACTTGTTATATTCGATATAATACTTTACTTGTTTATAATACGTAGACAAGTTCTGACAATCTGATTTAAATCATTCAACATTATTTGTGAATTTGAATAATAAATTGTTCGTGATTTAATTGATGAATAAACAATTGCAAGAATGTTGTATAATTAAAGAGAAACAATATATACGCATGAGAAAATATTTCGTCTATTAAAAATATATCTGTTCTTTAAAATGTATGTATGTATCTGAGTGTCATTTAAATCTTGGATCGTTAATTTCATAGTTTGCAATCTATAAAAAAACACAATTCATTATATGTATAGATATATTTAAACCAAACTTATGTAGAGATTTTCTTTCGTAGATTCGCATGTTTGTGATATGCATGAATAAATAATTCTATTTGCAGACAAGCGATAAGTATAACGATTATTCAAAAATGTGTTATTTGTACAAGAGATCTGGTATTTGTACAAACAAAATATCAAAATTCTAGAAGAAAGAAGGTAGAAGAAAAAAACAAGAAAGGAATATTTTTGGAAATAATAATTCTCAAATTAAACAAAATTAAATTAAATTAAAAAAATTCCTCAACTTTGCACATAGAATATCTAAGCAGCACGATTGTTGAAAGAAAGAAGAACAAAATGAAAGAGGCAAATAGATAATTTCGGCAGAGAGATATGAAAAAAGAGGAGAGGAAGCAAATATACATGTCTAAATATTTCCTACTGATTTTATATAATGTCGCGACCATCGCAAATGCCATAAAGAGATTTTTTAGGAACACTTTCTTCATCATCATCGGTCGCTGTTTATCGCGAGGAGAATAATTGACACCAAGCCAACGCCAAGTACAACGAAACATCCTACCGTATTCGCACATTCCCCGTCTTCACAAGGTAACTCTCGCGTTCGCGGAGAAACGCAAAGTACCAAGTAAACAAGCCGATCGAAAGCACCTTACATATACGAATGCACGTATTTCATTTTTTCCGACCCTTTTCTCCGGTTCTCCAATTTTTTTCCCCGCTCATCCCGTCGCCGTTTTCCGTTTCTCCTAATCGACATATTTCCCCGTGCACGGTTCACACCATCATCGCTTCGAAACTGTTTTAACACGGTCGCAGTCCCGGTGATATTATTGAAAATAAGATTCAAACACACCTCCTCCTAGGTCAGTCGTATCCATGTTGTCAATCCCGTTGTCACACACATACTACATTAACATCTACTCCGAAGTCCGACATCGTTTGTTGGAATCGCCCCTCCCTCTATCTCTTCTCCCGCACGTAGCGCCTGTTGCTGAATCGTATCGCATGTGTAGCTTCAAGCCGACGGAGTTCCGAAATTTACAATACCAAAAACAACACGTATTACGTATATCGTCTGCGAACAATCGCGACATCGATGCTTTGTAAGCGGGAAAAAATAGGTGTGCTTAGACAGACGCATGTTTTAACGAAATTTTACAACTAGTCATCGTATCGCTTATTTTCGTAAATTTGCGAGACACGTAAACAACCTTCTGGTATGCCAGAAGAAAGAAGAAAATCTAACGACACTATTAGCAATTAATAAATCGACTTTTCGTTCTCAGGATCCTCGATAATATTTTTTTCGCGATTATAAACCTTAATACAAAATTGTAATGTTAGAGTAATTAAGTATTATTATTGCATAATTTATTTATTTTTTAGTTTAAAAGAGATTTCTTGCTATAAAAGTCCTTTTAAAAGTTTATAAAAAGTTGGTAGAAAGCATATCACAATAAAGGACACTTATCTAATAATTATATTATTTTTATCATTGTCATAATAAGATAATAAACATTTATCCTTTTAATTAATAAAATAGATTCACGCAAAGTGCCCTCTCCTTCTAGCTAAGTACAGCTTAAAACCAAATAGACTGTCTCTTCTGTTAAGTTTATACTATGTCATACACACTCATACATCTAACGTGCATCAATTCGCCTGGTACAGACGCACCGAACCGCTTTGCTCTATCTACGTGGATAACATGTCTACATCTGCATCGGTGCATCTTGTGCTCGAAATTAATGCACGCATTAATGTATGCAACATTCATATAATTGTATAATTTTTTGACAATTATCACTCTTAAACGATTTGCGTGTTACATTTTAATAGAAATTTTCATGTTTAATACAAGATTTAATTTTATTAATATACTTTGCATAAATTCCATTTGGAAATATTTTGAATTTATCAATTATCGCAAATAGTTTACTTAATTCTCAAATAATATTGTTATAAAGATTTGCAAATATGTGTATGCTCTATAATTTTTATTCTAAAAATTTATATTATCTCAAAACATGTTTTCTAATTCATTTCGTTTCGATTCGATTATAAAGTAGCTCAATATCTGTCAATACTTTGGAGTGATAAAAGATGTTTCCCCAAACAGATACGAGAAAGTTTAGACACACATGAGATTTCTCTAATCGTGTGCCTTGGTATTATCTTCGCTTACCAAACGAAAAAAGTACATATCAAATACTTGCGCGATTCATCTCGATCTCAAAGATATCGACCGTTTACAAATACGCGATATCACACATACATTGTACAATATATTTGAAATAAATTTTAATCGGATTGTGTGCGATTATCAATACGTATAAGTCGAAGTAGCTTTCCTATGATAACGCGACCATGTAATGTCGAACGCGACCAAACTCGAAGTGAGGAGCAACCATGTAAATTTATTGGGGCTAAGAGTATAAATTCTCGTATAAATCTCAATTGTCGCAAAAATAACAGATTCGAAGGACGGAAACACGTTTGTGTCCGTGAAAATCGGAAATTTTCCTACGCGTGTTTAATCGAAGGGATAGACGATTGCTTTGCGCAGTATCTTATCGGTGTAAGAGAGCGCGATAAATCTCTCACGAATGAAAAATATAAACGTGTGGTCAAACTCCGAGTGTCGGATAAACGGCAGGTAATCATTGCGTGTCGTATCGCGTAGGGAAAACGTCGAGAGAGAGAAAGATCACGTAGTTTTGCGTCTTTCGCGCTGTAACCCGAAAAAAGATCACCCTCTTGCACGTGTTCTTACATAACGAAGAATGGTATGGCGGCACAGACATATGGTCGGATACCGGATATTTCTCGTTATTACTATACCAGCTACGTACATTTTTTGCGTCAGTATGATGGGACTATTTTCTGACAGTTCGAATATCGACTACGAAGCAGACTGGCGTGAGTATATTAAAATAATACGGATTATATTAGAATAATATATTATATAAATAATTAATAATATATATTAATAATAATAATATAAAATAATAATTAGTAATAGTAACATAAATTA